GTGCAACTGAGCTCTCACATCTACAAGGAGAGCTTCCTTCAGCTCAATGTCCCCATCCTCATTCTTGGACCTCTACTCCTATTCCCTTGGCTCCTCAGTATCTAGCACATTGTCTTGTTCCCCACTTTAATTACACAGAACACAGCACACCAGGATGATGTGGTACAGTCCATCCTAACTATACTGTAGCGTTGTCCCAGACACTACAAAGCTGTGGAACTACACTTTCAGCAGGCCCTAATGTCTGCTCCACCACAGCCCTGGATGTATCATGCACACCAGCCGCACCATCTGGTTGATCAACACGTTACATCAGAAAGGGAGTACCTACTGCACTCTGACCTCTTTCCCATCCATACCCACCTCAAACATTACATTTTCCATTGTATTCAGTACATCACATAACAATCAGTTCATTTTCAGATTGACATGACAGATGATGCAGGAATGTTCCCCCTGTCCCATTGCACCCTTGGGTGTTTCACAAATAATGGGGCACTTTTGACCAGCATTCACCCCATCTTAAATTATTGCCCCTAACTTCTGTATCACTGACATGACAATGTTAGTTTAGCACCGATGGCATGGTGCAGAGTAGTCTGGTTTTGACCAACAGTTGATGGAGAAACACGTTCACTGCATTGCATATTTGCGAAGATATGTTTGTCAATGAAATGCAGCTGGACCTTCCAAATACATGTTTCATCTATTTGCGTCTTTAATGTTGTAATATCCAGCAGACATGGAGCCCACACTATTGACTATCAAACTGACATTGACACTGCCCAGACTGGGTGTAGTTCTAGCCGATTGTCCATTGTAATGCATATCGAGAGGACAGCAAGTGATAGGGAAGGCAGCTCACAGTGAAAACCATCGACACCAGGCCAGATCTCCTTCCCGCTTGGAGCATCCATAGCTCCTTTTAACTAGTACTACACTGACAGCCCATTTCCACCTATCCCCTCAATGTGGAGACCCAGCACATTGAACTTTGCCTTTTTCCTACCCCCTGAGCACCAACATTACACCTGAATGATGCCTCTACCTGCTCCTCTACACTCCCCAGCGGAGGTCAGTATGTTGGTCCTGCCATGAACACTCCCACCTCTGGCCTAAAATGCCCACCAATGCTATTCCATGCATCATCTCCACACATCTCGAGTTTCCAACTGCCATCTTCTTTGTTCGCACCACCACAAATGCCTCTGTTACTGCACCCCCCCCACACTTGCTACCTTGCCTCCCCCCACCCCTTTAGAGGATGACCTTCTCACTGCCCCTATAGCTCCACTTCATACCTTCCTTAATGATTCACAGATGGATGCCCCTAGGACTGTATTTAGCCCAGAGGTTTGGTTTCTGAAGACAATGAAGCAAGCAAGTAACTTCCAGTATGTTCCGAGGAATATTCACTCAATACTAATTATTGAGATTCTCTTCTCCAAATGTTCAAGAAGTTGATAATGTGAAGATAACCAGGGAGCAATCAAACCTCTGTCCTGTAGTTTTC